CAGCACAAGCCCGTCCGTCCCATGCAGTCGGCCGAAAGAAGGATTGAAGTTAGAAGGGCTCGTCAAAAGGAGTCCTTTACTTACTCCCCTCAAAACTGCTCTGTCAACGTTTATCTACGTAGAACGCCCGTTGCAGGCAATGGGCAATGCTCGAAAGGGCTCTTGCTTCCTGCATTGGACTCAACCCACAGCTTCTGCCAAGTGGCGCCACCTGCGTCCATGGTATCAAAGTGCTTGGTGTTCTGCGGGGCTGCTACGAGGGCAATCTTCCAAAACCGCTAATGGCCGCGAGACACGGACCGTCACTGGGACCACATCAGCTTCTGCTTCGACGATGCAACCGTGCATGCTCGAGCGGCGTTTGCATGACGGAAGCAATCGAGGCCCCCACTCGTCTCCGGTCGTCAGCGCTGCCCGGGTTCGGTACAGGTGAGGGCCTGGAGGAGGTTCGTCGATGGTGGCCTGCATCTGAGCCAGTCCCTGCAGAGAAAGCCCCTTGAATGGCAGTGTGGCCCGCCATGACCAGCGTCCGGGCTTGGCTGGGTCCAAGGGATCGTACAGATTGGAGCCCACGGTCCTTGTTGCGCCCACGTTGCACTGCGGGTCTGCCGTTGTCCACGGTGAGTGCCAGTAAGTGTTGGGTCAGCGGCTGCGAGGCTGTCCAGACCCACGTCATCTCCTGAGGGGCAACGGTCTGAGACGGCAGCAATTGCAGTTCCACGATGGCAAGGGTCCCACGGACAATCGTAAAGCGACCTCGATTCAGCTCGCCTGGGCAGAGCATGGCACGGCAGGCAAGGACAGAGGCGAACGTGCCCGTGGAGCAGTCAACTGTTGAGGAGGTGGCTTGACCAGTTTGCGACGTAGTGCATGGTGCAAAGAACAAGCACCTTCTCTCCAGGCAGCGTGGCGATGACCTGCATCGTATGCACAGCAGACAAGGTCCATGAGAAGCAGTGCCTGCCAGCCCATCCTCGTGAAGACCGTTTACATCACGCCAAGGTCCAGGTGGGAGACCCAGAACTTCGTCATCCTGCACCCAAGACACCTCAGTCTCAAGTCGAGAAGCCCGGAAAGCAGCAGGAGTCCGTACGGTGCTTGGTCAGAGCCCCTCTTGCCATTTCAGCTTCACTGGGGTTCTCGCCTGGGATGCTGGGAGCGTGAGCCCAAGAAATTGCCTACTCAGGCACACAGACGCATGAAAAAGCAGACAAGGCGATCGGCAAACTTGCACAGGGGAAGGAGAAGGAACGGCAACCAACAAAACACGCTGCCGGGAGACGCAACGTGCTCCATAGAACCCCCAGCAGCGCCTTCGCTCCTTCTTTTCCCCGATAACCGCGTGACAGCCTTGCCTCGTGCTTGCTCAACATTCTGCCGCAGCAGTCAATGCAACTCCACGACTCCGTGCCTGCCAGCATTGGCCACCACCTGAAGCAACATTTGCAACCGCGGTGGCTTGGCATGGCATTTTCATGCAAACATAGTGCTGCATATGTAAACACACGTGTACACATACATTAATCTAGCGAAGAAAGCTGTCTGTCGTTTGAGCACCCAGTACTGGTATGCACATCTTTACTGCGTGCACATGCTATAAACTTCTCACCACATGGGTTGCCGTCCCTGTGTCTCGGAATGGTGGCTCCGCTCGGGTGTTGCAACTGTTTCATTAAATTTCTTTGGGTCTTTCTTTTGGCTTATCGTCTAGTGGTTTGCATGCATGTACCAATTCATCTACATCTCTGCTCATGCTACGCCCTTCCGAAGCCCACATTTCTACAGGGCCGCGGTGCGACCGTACCATAGTGAATGCACTAATTGCATCACGCCCGAACCTGGAATGGAACCTGCCGCTGAAACTCCACAGGCCACTTGGAAGCCCTGGAAAGCCCTCTGAGAGCCTGGTACTCAAACTCCGCGAGCTTGCCTGGCTGATCAAGCCAAGGCAGACAAACGTGATGACTCCTCGGATTTCTCAGCGTTCAAGTGTAGCTTTGTTGGGACCAATGTTGCTGCCAAGATTCCAGGCTCGCTGCCTGCTGTACCTTGCTCCCCAAAGCAGCTTTTCGAAATTCGCAAGCGAGGCAAATTGGCCAGCTTTACCCAGAGAATGTCGACGAAATCGACTGCCCATCTCGTTTCAGAAGACAGTGAGACTCCTGAAGGCAAGGCAAACTGCGACAGCTGGGAAGTAGGGAGCCTCAAGTCACAACGCGTTAAGCCTCCCTGTCCGACTCCGGAGTGAAGAGGAAGTTTGACACCAAGAGAAGGCAGGCGTCCTCATGTAAGGCTGGCTGTGCATTATGTGCGGCCTTGCGGCTACGAGGCAAAGGGCTCCTCCTCGCACGGTTTCAGAGCCAGCTGCTGACCCTTGACTGCAGTCCACCGTTCCGAACTTCCATCCACCTCTCAGACTTTGCGTGGCAAAAGCATTGGCTGAAAGCACACCCGGGCAACTGGGCTGCCAACGCGCTGCCGCTCCGCAGACTGAGAGACAGAGACCTTCTGACATTATCGGCCCTCTCAGTGAGACGCTCCAACGGTCGCTCGAGGCATGTGCGGAGTAGGTGCTAGAGCAAGGAGCTATGCTGTCCAGCAACCGCTGCAAGGCCTCGCGTGGTGCAGCCGCAGAGACTCACAGCAGCCTGCAACAACTGGAGCGACCACCTCTTCCTCATGCTGTGATCCCTCGTCCTGCAAGAAAAGGGTAGCACTTAGTTCACACCACGAGTCTACCAGTCAAGATAAGCCAAGTTAAGGATGCGAAGGCACCTCTGCGGCGAGTTCCTCTTCGGCTTTCTCGAGCTCTGAGATGAAGGCCTGTTGCCACAGCACCTGCTCAAAGTGTCTGTATTTCGCACTCACTCGGCTCCCAGTGGAGAAGAGAGGCCTGCTTGCTGAGAAGTGTATCCGTGCAAGAGGAAACCAGGGCCTCTGCAGCCTGAAAGATTGCAGGTCTGAGGTTTGGGGGTGCGCTGCAGGCAATTCATACCGTGAGCTGTGAGCCTTGACGGCCCTCGATGTCGCAGCATTCTGCTGCTCCTCGGCTGCCTGCGCACTTGCAAGACAAATCCTGCACCTACAGTGGGCGAACAGCAAGGCGGGGAAGCTGACTGCAGTCCTTGGCTGCCTCTTGCAGTGATTTGGTCTCTTCCAACTTCGAGGCGTCAGCCTTCTCTCCAAAGCTTCAAACGCAAACGGTTGCCTAGGGTTCAGTTTTGGTATGTCTTCGTCACTTGAGCGGACCTGCAGCCGGCATGCCGCATCTGCAGCATTGAACCCAGTCCTGCTGAACATGCATGTCTAGCAAAGAGTGAAACTGAAACATTGAACTGAAACAAGTAACTGGCAAAGCAGCGACATGATCCGAATGGTCGGGTTGAAGTACGCACCGTGCGAAGCGATGTGAAATGACTGGCTCGATCTCGATCGGACTGCCAATCTCCCCTTGTAATGTGGCCAGGTTCAAAACAATCACGTCCAGATTTTGAGAACACAAAGGAGTAAAACGGAAACCGGAGACCGCTGGCTTGATTCTCCACGTCCTGTGAGGATTGGGATACCTCGGAAAAGGGTCTGTGGGTCAAAAGGCTGTGAGAGCTATGTTCTCCACTAAGTTCCCAGCCCTGCATGTGTCAGGATGGTCTCTTCAGTCTCTTCGGATTCCATTTCGTCCCCGATGGTTCATGACTGCGACGCCAAGACAGTGACTAAACCGCTGAATGTCCAAGCCGGTAAACTGTTCCTCTTGCGCTTGGGAACATGTCCGAACCGCTTATTCCTCGGGTGGTGGCGAGGCTCGGAGGTGTACTGAGTACTGCAACTTGGCTTGGAACGTAACGCTTCATTTGAGCCCATGACAGCTTAACCCATCTTGCAAGCTGCAACCCCATGCAACCCCATGTAGCCCCATGTTCATGTGATTCATGTCCGGGTGCGAAATGGTGCCTCGCACTCGGGTGCTTACATCTGCGTATGCCATATTTCCGAGATGCATAGTTGCTGCATCGCAAGGGGAGACCTCGCTGCCATTGCTAACAGCGAAACTATGTACAATGCCGCATCGACGCGAACATCCACGAATTCCCCACTCGTGCAGCCGCCCAGCTAAGGACAAGACTTCGCCTTGCGCCTTTTCTTCGCTCGGGGCAAGGATGGATCTCTCAAGCGCCGTGACAATCGATGAGCAAAAGCGCCGCGATTGGAAGCCATTTTTGCGATAAACTGCCGGCTGCGCACGGACGAAGGCCTCGCAAGGCCTGCTACAGGAGGAGGCTGACGAGGTCGCAAGAAGTCCAATTTTTCGCTCCAAGGAAGGAGTCGCCGCCTTCCCGACCGCCCGTACTTCCCTGAAGGCGGGGTCGCAACGGCCCGCAGCGGACGCAACTCTCCATCTCCAGTGAAGTCGCGCAAGGTTTGTGTCAGGGCTTGCAAAGCGCTGCCTTCCCTCGCTTCGCCTTCTTTTGATTTGACAAGGAAGTACTCCAAAGAAGAGCTGAACGTGACGAACTCCATGTTGCTACCACTGGGACTTGCGTGCAGTACTTTGCTGCAGCGAATGGCCGATTTCAGCGACTCTTCTGCAGCTCGAGCAGGGTCCTTGAAGGCCTCGTGGCTCTTGGGCAACGGCATCAGAAAGACACCGGCTCCCGCAATGTTGGTGATGCGCAGTCGCTTCGTCTTCTGCTCTATGTACTTCAAGATCGCTTCGTTTCTCTTGTCCGCCATTGCGCGATACCCCACCTTTATAAAGAGAAGGTTGTCAGTAGGAACGAATGCACAGTAGAGCATATGCCTGGGTGACATGTAAACACCCCGCCGGGAAAGCGGCTGCCATTGTATCGCTGCAAAATTGAAGAACACAGAGTCGCAAACCAGCAAACGACTGCTGTTGTCCCGGCCAGGAGAGCTGTCATCCAACACAAGCTTGCACACTGATTGTTCCCCGGACTCGCGACCAACTCGACAAAGTCTACCCCCTTTCAGAACCCTTGCATCCGTCGGCAAACTGCCCGCCAGATGCTTTGCCACGACTTTGGAGATGGGAATGCTTTTCGTTGTGTTGTGCTCTATGCCCTGTACATGAACTGAAATGCCTCTTGTCGAAAACCTGATGGAGGACGCACAATCTGGCGAGTTTGTGAGTAATCGGGGTTTGATGCGATCAATTTCTGAGTCGTCTGCCTGCAGCATCTCCACTTCTGCATCGCTCTGAACGCTGTGAACGCTTTGAACGCTGACCACGGAGCTGGCGACGCTGCTGCCGGTGCTACCGGCGCTGCTGATGCTGATCCGTGGAGGCCGGCTCTCTGCCCGCCTCGAAGCGCTCTCCTGGCCCCTGTAGCATGCAGCGCAAGCGGCACATGCGACAGAAGCAGCGGCAGCTACAGCCAGACCACGAGACGAAATACTGAACTTCCACAGTATCTCCTCCATGGCATCACATTGCGCAAACTAAGATGTTTATGACGCCACATGATAAACTTGAGGCGACGGATTGACCCGGCGGCTGCATTTCAAAGCAAGATTACCTTCTGGGAAACAACGGGTACAGGGGCCTGAACTAGTGTAACGATCATCCAAACGAGCGCCCCGCCACTAGGCAACCTCTGAAGCAGGTGAATCCGCTGGCCCCGGTCATGCTGAGCTGACATCCTCTCCCGGGTCTCCGACCTAGCCCCTTTTCATCGCCAGCATCAACTTCTCCCCAAAGCCTACATATTCCATCAAACTGCTCAGCAAGCTGACCCAACGAATCCGGCTGCGAAGTGAGAAGGGCGACAGTGGTGGAAACAGCAAAGAGGGGCCACACATGATCCGTCTTGAAGGCAAGTCCGTTCGTGAAGGCACGCCGCCGCCGCTCTGAGATTGCAACTTTGAACCGGCTTTGCAGCAGCTCTTCCAAGGCATGCTCTTCCTCAGTTCGGTTCTCAGGAAGACCTGGTAGAACGAGAAAAACATGAAGGACTTTCTTGTGCTGCACAGCACTTTCAAAGGCAGCACGCAGCTTCTTGGCAAGTCGTAGCACCAAGCCACGCACGAAGGGTGGGTTGACTTCATAAACCCCGCCCATCGTCCCTATGTCCAAGTCTTCCTCCAGAAATGGGCCCAGAGAGCCGAAGAACACATCCAGGTCTTTAAAGATGGAGCAGAAGTGCCAGGTCTTCTGGCACAGCAGCGGCGATGCAAAGCACTCCAACTTGCCAAGGGACTCTCTCTCCAAAGCCACAAAAACCTCGTCAGGAACGGCTGCGTGAAGACCCCCTCCCTCTTTGTGCCCCGGCCCAAACAGCGCATCGTAGCGGCATAGAGTACAATAAGTGAGGTTCCAAAACGTGGATTCCTCCTGCAGGAACGTGATGGACGATGCCAAATCGCTTCTGCCATGACGTCCTCAGCCACAAGTCCATGCCAGAACTGGGCAACGAACCTCGCTAATACTCCTCCCGGTCAACAACCCTTTTGCAACCCCATGACAGCTTCTCAAGCTCAGCGACCTTCGACATCGGCATCATCGGCCATCGCCTTGGCCCGCTTTGCCGCTTTTCGGAGCAGCTTCCTGGCAATTCACTCAAGGGAGTCCTGAAGCCTCCTTCTGGCGAGCTGAAGCTGCTATTTGTCAGAGCAACTGTGCGATGAAACGAAGGTCTTTCGGACATCTTAGCTAAGAGCTAGCCGCGGAGTTGGTGCAGCCTGCTTCAGCAGGTCCCTGTTGATGAAGCTGCTCACAAAGGCAGTGTATTTCCCGAAGTTCACCACACCATGATGCCAGCCGTCCGGGAAATAAAGTAGCTCGCCGGACTGAATTGAGCACTCTTGCAAATTCTGCAGCTGGCCAGAAACTTCCATCTGCGGTCTCCGCTCAAGGTGCCAGTGGTACTGCGACATTGACGCATTGAACTGCATGTCAGTCTCTATGTCTTCAATTGCAGGATCTCCGGGAGGTAGAAATGCGAAGTGTTTCGAGCCATGGAAGACCTCCACAAAGGCAGCGTTGTGGAAGTGCCATGGTGCGCCAGAAAAGGAGCCCCCGAGACCGATCGTGATGGCAGCTGCAGCTTCAGTACAGACTTGGCAAGGAGGCAACTTGTAGGACGCTCTGAGAGGTGCCCAGTTCTCTCCAAATTCACCAAAAACGTATCGGTTGTCCTCGGCATTCTTGCTGATAGGCTTTGGCAGCCATTCTTGAAGGTACTGGGCCAAAGTCATCTCGAAGGTGCCTATCCGCTTGCTGCCGGCTTGGCTGGGCGTGCAGGTAACATTTCCCATGGAGCCAAGGAGTACATCATGCTCTAAACTGCGACGGATCCTTGTGTTCCAGTTCCTTGGCACCTCCACCACGTAGGGTTCATCGGGGAGTGGCAGCATCGCCTGCCCACGAGGCCCTCCACGAGGCCACTGGATCCGCTTGATGTTGCACCTGCCTCGCCAAGCCATGTCTCGGTCATCCTGGTGCTCCTTGGAAGTAAGGGCTGCATGCTCATGAGGCTGGCAAGAGATGCCGCCATCGTTTCCACAGTTTGTGTCGGGGTGACTTGCCAGGTTGCCAAGACAGCAACACAGGCCCAGTATCAGCCGACATATCAACATTACACACTGGAGGGTATCTTGAGGTGAGTACATGGCCTCATTATATTAAATTACACCTCGTAAATACTCTAAACGGCCGTCTGAGTACATGTACAACCCAGAAACACAATGGCAGTTCTACAGTGTCACCGTCGGTGGCATCACATCTGCAATGCGTCACTCGCAAGTCATGTTTGTCCAGAAGCAGCTGCGGCGGAGTCCAACATGATCGATCTTCGCTGGTGTTCCGGGCTGGTGATGACACTCGTCACTAAAGTTTCTGACGTGACGGAGTTGAGCCTCTCTGCTAGGGTTTCGCTTGGGCGACACGACTAGTCACTAGTCTTATGTTCTCTTGGGTTCAAAAGCCCTTGCGTTGTTCCCCAAAGTGCGCTGATAACCAGAAGGCCGCACTTCATGTTGAGCTCTTCGCGAGATTAAAGCCTAATGATGTCCCGAAACTATTCATCTTAGTTGGAGCCCGTCCCGATGAACACTGCTGGTAGATGTGGTAGTACTGAATAAGGGAAGACTAGAACTACGTAAACAAACAAGCCGGGCAAGCGCCAACCTGGCCAGCGCGGACGGACTGATGGCAAATGCCTCCGAGCTCCCTCCAGGCTCGTTTGCGGACTCTCCACTACCCTCCGAGTCCGAGCAAGCATTGGCAATGGCTGGACTGTCCGGGCTTCCAGGCAGCGTAAACAGGTAGCAGCCTCGGCGTGTATCGAAGGTTGCTGACACAGTGCTGCTGCACTCTGCCTTCAACTTTCCATGCAAGGATTTGGCAGCAGCAGCAGCCTCCGAGGTCAGCTGACAACAGATCCGTCGGACTCGGCTTTCTGCTGTCGCTGCAGTTTCCGCATCCAGCCCAGGCAGCAGAACCCGGCACAGTCTCCTACAAAGTGCTGCATCAGCTTCCTCTGCTGAGCCGGAAACCTGAAACTTGGAGTGATCGCCTCCCCACAGAGGATCCATTCCGTTGCCATTCAGGCGCTCCATCAGCCACTTGTTAAACGACTCTCTGGGTGCTTGCCGTGCTGTTTCTTCTTTGCCGACTTCCTTGCAGACGTCGGCGTAGCGCGTGTCGAAGCGTGCACGCAGGCCCAGGATCTCTGCACGGCGAAGCTGCTCCAGTGCAGGCCTCGGGATTGCCGAGCCGGCATCGCAAAGACGCCGCAGCCATACGCGTGTCAGAGGGTCCTCGCGATCGCCGTGGACGAGATCGCTCGTCCGCTGACGCTTCCTTGAAGAGCCATCGAAGCTCATGTCATTCGGCGTGCCGCGCGCGGAGCGTGGCTAACCAGATCGGGACAAGCCTTGTTATCAAAGGATATGCGAAGACACTCTGAAGAGCCCAATCCATGGAGTGATGAATGCGTGTGTGGTAGGCAACCGCTAGTCTAAAAGAGCTCTCAACATCAATGCTTGCATCTACAGGACTCAATCCTGCGACGTGCGACCTGAGAGATGTGCATAACCTGGCAGACCTAGCACTGCGTTTGCAGTCAGGAAAACTGCTGCGCATGCCTCACGATTTCTGTACATGCCTCACACTTTCACGGCTCGCTTCCACTCTTGTGGCTTCCGCTTGGTTAGCCTCGGTGCTTGCCAAATGTGCGGCAGCACTAGCATACGCGAACAGCAAGTGTGAATGAATGCAGCAAGGAGGCTTGACAGATATCTTGCCTCTGCGAAGCTTCCAAGAAGTCCGATCAGACCTATCAACTGCGGGTCTGGACTGGTGTGCACTGCAAGAACTTCTACATTGTAGGTTGCAGCATGTGCCATCCTGAAGCTGAGGCAAGCACTCCACCTTAGTTGGCGAGCACGGCAGGACAAAAAGAACAGGATCGTGCAGTTTCAATAAGAGCCGCCAGGTACCAACGACAACACTGCCAACGGTTCAGGCACAGTCACCATGAGAGTTTGCGAAATCAGTGAATGGTACAAGATGGAAAGTGGTGGCGGTGCAGCTGTGTTTAGCAGTGCGAGCAGGCCTGACGGCCTGCGGGGCGGACAGGCGGATAAGTTTTGGGTTGCCAACCCCTGGAGATGGAAGCCCCACATGTCAACACAACTGGGATTGCAAGCAATGAAGTTTCAAGGAAGAAGCGAAGGCATGCTGTCTACGACGATTTCTACCTTCCGAGCCTTCGAGCCCCGGTCACCCGGGCAGCAAAGGCTTCTTTCTGCAGCCAGACCATGGAGGTGCAGGACGAGGACAAAGCCGCGCTTTTGGACGCTTCAATCTGCTTCATGTGCAATCATTTTGAATGCAAGCAAGAGGCACTATGGCAGAGCGGCGCGAGGCGCAAGGTCCAATCCGCCCTAGTGGCAGCCTGGAATAGTCCAGGTGAATGTGTCACAGCATTGGAGAAACCATGGAACATGTTGGCACGACGGTTGCCGCTGTAGGCAACTCGTGCAATATCACAACGAGCTCGTTGTCCTTGCTCAAAACCTGTCATGAGAAGCTGACGCATACCCTTGACACCTGCAGCCGTTGCCGCGCACCATCGACCTCTACGTGCTCTTCCTTCACGTGCTGCGCTGCTCCTCCATAAAGATCCTGCGAGGCATCTACAAAGTGCAAAACTGACTGCACGGCTGTCGTACCATGCGATCCGAGTCCTTGTCTGCCTCAATGATGATTGTGGCAAACTCAAGAGAATCCGCGAAGGTGTAGTGCTCAATCGTCTTCTGCACACCTCCGCCGTCCTCACCAAGAGTTCAGGATGGTGTCTCATGCAGGGTTGTTTGTTGCCCTCGGCCTTCTTCACAGCAGGCATCTGGCACCGCTCTAACTCTGACAAGACCATCAACCTGCCGACGGGAGGCGGGGTCAACAACCGTTGGTCGACCTGCTGGGGAGCCTGTGGCAGCCTCAAGGCAGCTTCCAGATTCCACCAGGGCCACGTGTGCTGACTGAACTAAGCGAGCACTTCTTGGCATGTCGAACTGGTGCTTTGTGCAAAGCCGAGGATGTTCGGAAACAGTTGGACTGTGCTCGTCGCACTGCGCCACTCTTCCGCAGATGCTCGAAAGGGCTCCCTCGGCCCTTGGCCTCTGTGACTGACCCCGAGCTTAGCGCAGATCCCGCCTGTTCTCCACTGTCATCGGAGTGATAACCCTATATTATATACTATATACAGGATGTGAAGCTTCCAGGCATTGTCGGCAAGATCTCACTCCCGCTGTGCTAGTCATTAGTCATCGTATCACCTCCACAAGAGACCCTGAGGGCCTGGTTTGCTCTTCGGGGCTAAGCGCCGGAGCCTTCAGAGCACCGTGTGAAAGCACGGAGCAGAGCGGATGTGGCGGCGCTGGCGGCGCGGCCTCGGCTTCGACTGTGGCCTCCACGACATCATCTCCCTGCCTGTCAGTGCTCAGAGACGTGCAAGGACGAGCGCACGAGAGTGCGCAAATACGCTCAACTCCACACTCTTCAGCCCTATTTTTTTGGGCGAGATCTCAGATCACATCTGGCAAGCCCAGCGAGTGACGCAGAAGCTGACCTCGCGTCCACGATACAGGACATGAGTGAAATTCTGTGCGCGATCTATGCAAGGCCACGGCTCAGCACTGCAGGTCCTCCAAGAATCTCGTCCTCGGACCTGTGTCAACCATAGTAGCGATGCCATGAAAGCGGACATCAGCACAAATGCAAACAAGGCAGGAGGACAGCTGGCCAAGCTCATCACCGTACTTGGCATTGTTTAAGATAAGAATGTGGGAACCTCAGGACCAGAGAAAGCAGTTCATTCTGGGAAGTCATATTTCATCAGGGATGAAGCTCAATGAGATTCGAGGTGAGGTACGGCTTGCCAGACTTATGCAGGAGGTGCAAAGCACTATGACCCATGGCACGTCCAACAATGACGCCCTCCTGCGCTGTCATCCCGCACACCCCATAAAGCTCTCGGGAGTCCGGACTCGCATCTCAGTGCGGAACCGAGCTCCTTTCCTAGGGCCTCCTGGAAAGGCCGGACCGCCCAAAGCGTCTCCTGGCCGTGTCGCTTTCCCAGGCCCAGACCAGAACTCTGCGGTGAACCTTCTCCGGATTGTGCGCGAGCAGAGCCTGCTGAATTCATGGCTCATGGCTACCCGGTGTCCTGCAAAAACCACGAGCACCTTGCTGATGCGCTGGCTGTGGACAAGGCTGACGGGCACAAAAACATCTCGCAGTATCTCCTTCAAACAATTCGAGAAAGTCTGACAAGGTCTTGCTGCTCCCGTATTTCACTGAAACATGTCCTGCCAGTAGAAAACGTCAGTCCTTGGTGGCAGCATGCAGTTTCTCTCGCGCTTGTCTGCGCATTGCAGCTACGATTACCTGGAGGCCAAACTGCAAAGAGACTGTCTTCCCCAACAGATGCATGCTTTGGTTGCTGTACTCGCTAACCTGCAAGTCCCTGAAACTCAGCCATCTACTTCTGGCTCATAACTTCCGGAAGCTTTTCCTCCAGCCGACCATGAAGAGCATTGAACCTCCCAACACAGTCCGACTCCAATCGATGATCCGTGGTAGCATGGGCGCACCAAAGCTGCGTAAGCTCCGAGTTGGGCCGAAAAGGGCCCATGTCCTGGCGCGAGTCAGTGAAACATGAACCCCGGTCGTGAGCGCAGACTGATGCAACAGCGAAAGCGGAAAACAAGCGGGACTGGCTGAAACACCGATAAGCTCACCCCATTCAGCTCCATCATAACCTGACACTATGCCATGGACGGAGTAAATGGGGTGGCAAGAACCCTCCAGCCACTCCAATTGCTGAGACTACGTCCAACTGCATCGAATTGGTTGCTCTCCACCAGCTCGTACAGGCCCGCAAGACTTCGCAGGCAAATGGTGTCAACCTTTGCTCCCACAACTTGCCGCAGTGCAGAGTGCTTCACACTGTGCTAAGATGCAGACATCAAGGTACAAACCCCCGTAGTTGTGCAGCAAGTAGCAACCTGCGATCCAACTCTACAGCCGCAGGTCCGCCCCAGCCCTAAAGGTGTCCCAGGGGCGCAAATAGTCTGCTCTGTGGGCCAGATGAAGGTACGGATATGCAGGATGTGGGTCCGGCACGTACTCTGTCACCTTGGCACGAGCCCGAAGACGGCCTCTGAGAATGACACGGCGATTCCCTCAAGTGGTGCAGCCACGGAGCATTTTGCGGAGTGATAAGTACAACGGGCCTTGAGACTGCCGGACTCCCGCACAGAAGATGTGGAACGCAGCGCGTCTTCAACAGTAGAGCCCGGACAAGCCAGCATTACGCCGCACCGTCTCCATACAAAGTCGCAGGTGAGCTGGCCTGACTTTCAAGACTGCGCAAACACCATGGCCTCAACTGACGTTTGGCTGGTCGGTCAAGCTGTGTAAGGATAGGACATCGGGTTGTTCCCAGTCCAGCACATCCAAATGACCCCTGCAACTCGCGAGTAGCCGGGTCTTTGAGTCATTTGACAACTGGGCGTCCAACGATGTAGCTTCCCCTTCTCCAGTCGCGGCCTTGCCAACACATGCTGCCAAAGCTAGCGGCAGAGGAACCGGCGCCTTCCGCCCACACCGTGAATAGCAGGGCCTCCTAAGCTGCAGTGCCATGAGATGAACCACGAGAGGTGCAAAAATCTGGCCTGTGGAGTCCCAGACCGGCTTGGGACCGACGGAGGACACCTCGTCAGGTCGGGGGTGTCCTTGTTTTTCAACCCCCTCACCTGCAACAGCAGAAGCACACGGCACATGCAGACAACCGAACGGCATCTTCAAGCCAAGAGTCATACGGAATCCTGCAAACCAGATTCTGATCTACGTTCTCCAATTAGAAGGCAGTAGCAGATTGGGGGGATACAAGCTTGCACATCCACCACATTCCCGAACGAGTAGAGTAGAGATGGTGAAGGAGGACTCTTTGCCAATCAGCCTAATCAGGCTTGTAGATGGATTTCAAGATTTCCGGCCATTGGGCCAGCACACCTCAACCTTGGCATGCTTCAATGGCTCAGTCTATAGTGCACCCCAGAAAGCTGGAACATGGATTTAGGATAAGTGCTGAGAGCATGAGGATAATGATGTTCCAACTTTCTGGCTTCTACTGTAATACATGGCAGTGCTTTGGCATTCTGCTCTTGCCGCGCATTCGGCTGATACTTCTTAATTATGACACACGCCGAGAAGCTGGTAACAGTAATGGGTAGCTGCAGCTGTGGGAGAGGGAGATTATCGAAGCTGGCCAGTGGAAACTGACCGGTTGAGTCTGTGCAGTACTGAGTACTGCCAAGACATGAAACCCACCACAGCCCTGGGCGGTGCAGAGCCAAACGAATCATTGAACAAGTAAGTCCGCAACTGTTCTCATATGGGCACATCTACCCCGCGCCGCCTGGGCAAGACATGCGTGATGACGGTACAACTGCGACAACCAGGGGCTGAGGCTGCAGCTGCTGCTGCTGCAAAAACTCCACCAACCGAATACCATCTCTTCGAATGCTGTCGTGCGGAGAAGTGGTGCTCTCTGCCAGCTGCAGCTCGTGCCACTCTCGCCGAAAGCTGTTGAGGAATTCGGAAGCACTGCAACCTAAGGTGTGGCTCGTCAGCGTCTTCACTTTTGAGTTGTGCGTGGGCAGTGGGCGAACTAAGTAGCCGGCACCTGTATGCTGACAGCTGGCTGCATTGGCATGGCGAGCATGCCTTCGACCGTCCTGTTTGCAATTGTGCAGTAGGCTTACATGCTCCTGTCCCAACAGTGCTTTCGGAGTGTTCAGGAAGATACTGCCTTGTGGCAGAACCACATCACTGCCGAACACCCTGACGAAAACTGCGCTCTATGTGATCAGTGAGCACCTATTGCTATTGTCGCCCGGCTGCACCGTGCTAAGGTATAGCAGACATGCTGCACGTGTCGAGACTCGAGCCGTGAGCCGCATGACGGTTTGAGCGCAAAGTGAAGATGTCTTCAAAGTGCACGTTCTTTCGGCCTTTGCTGGAGCGGCGCTTCGGTGTCGCCCTCGTTGTCTTCAATGCGATCAGGATCACCAGCCGCATTTGCCGCAATCACCTGACAGAAAGGACTTCCGAGACGGAATCCCTTGGCAACGGGCGCCTGCGCCAATCTTTTTCGATGGGCAGAACTTTCCTCAAAATCTGCCAATATGAGACGGCAGACAGCAACCATGGCTTGCATCCTGGGGCCTCTGCATCTTCGATTCCAGACCTCCATGTAAGCACCAGAAACAAATTCATCAAATTCGTGAAGCACAGTCGGGCCGAAAGATGCAAGAATCCGACTGGCTTGTGATCTGCCAGCCAGGTTCAATTTCGAATCGGTTTAGGCGTCAGTACACCCAGGAATGTTCACCCGTCTGAGCTTTACGAGCTGACATCCGTTCTGAGACCCACACTCCACGTAGCCATTACGGTTGCCCGTCTCGTTCGCTGCAAGCCTGGTTTCCCCGTCGGTGGTAGCTTCTTCCTGTCCTGCGATGCATCATGACGCATTAATGTGCAACGATGACTTCTTGCAACGCTTTGTGAAAACATGGCTTGCTGCAGGACCACCGGATTGAAATTCAGTCTATACTCAAGTGGCAATGCTGATAGTTGCGAGGACATGTCATATCCGGCCTCCATGCATTGCCACCAAAGATGCAGCATATTTTCTGATGTCCTGGCTGCTAGTAACCAAGCTTCCAACAACGGCTTGTCAGAATTGTCAGAACACCCAGCTCGACCCCGTTTGGTCCTCTTCAGTAAGATCTTTCAGCTTCTTTCCACCGAACATGATTGCAAAGCGAACAGAAGGCTCCCTCCACACTTGTACATCTCTGTTTGCATGAGTTCGTGGGACGGTTTCCACAACAGCGTGTGTCGATGAAAACGATGCCGAGCCCAACATCAAGCTGCCTTGTGGCAGATCATGAATGCCTTATAAGCCAATGCTACAGCACACAACACAATCACTGAAGGGGCACGGACATTCCAGGTGAAGCAGAATCCACTTCAACAGTTGAAGTCTCGGCACTACGGCCTTGACACGTGCTGCCCTCACCAGTTGCATGAGCTTTTGGCTGATGCCGCACGCAGAAAGCCGCTTTAACTACCATAGCTGTGGACATCACCACTCTCCCTTTAGATTCACAGAGCCTCCTGCAAGGGCGAGACCTCAGCTTATCAGAACCGAGAAAGCGAACGCTCCCCGATGACTGCATCTCCCAAAAGACGAGGCGCGGGAAGCTGGACTTGAGCCGAGCCGTCTCCTGGTCGCAACCTGAGACGTGCCCATAAGCAACTGTGGCTGCGTGCCACACGGTGTTGCCGCAGAGTGCGGCTGAAGTGCTGCTTCTTCCAACTGGCAACCGCCAGCTCACGAATGCCGAACCTGGGCAACGCCCGGCATGTAAGCTCCCCGCAGCAAGCCGACAAGCTGGAGATGGCTAAAGCTGGGCTGGGTGTCTGTCGCATCTTCCCGAAAGCGCGGCTCGGACCACAGAGACTCCTCTGCCTCGGGACCATGTCACCGTGGCATTACAGTGAGGGGCACATCTTGTTAAAAAGCGGTGGTTCCCGCACGTGTGTTGTCTCGCACTTTTCCTGCATTTCGACACGGTATTTACGATGGTTCTGCTGCTTGGGGCTGCCGGTGTTGGAGTGTGTTTCAGGCGTCCGCATTCTCCATGTTGTTGATACTTACCCGGGTTCCTGCACGTGTTTAGCTTCCGGCTTCGCATTTACGATGTTTTCTGCACGTAGCTTCGGAAGAGTCCTTAAGCCGGTGGCATCCATATCAACGCAAGGAAAAGCAGTCGCCATTGCAACTTCCCAGTTTTGGAAGGCTCATGCGCTCTACCGTGAAATGGACGCCGGGGTGTAAGACCAACGTCGCTGCTGCTGCGACAAACACCGACGCGAATACACAGCTGCAAAAAAAAACAACACCAGCAATACGAACACCAACACAAGTAGGCAGCAGCACTGCAAGTACAAACACCCCCCGCAACAAAAGATGATGACAGATGATGGTTATTGAGGATGATGGGGATGAGGATGAGGATGATGATGATGATGATGATGACGATGACCATGATGACAATAATGATGATGTATACGGTGGTGATGAAGATGCTGATGATGACGATGACGATGACGATGATGATGATGACGATGATGGTGGTGGTGGTGGTGGTGGTCATATTGATGCTGATGACAATAATGATGACGAATACGGTGGTGATGATGATGGTGGTGGTGATAATGATGATGATG